TCCTACTCCTACTACTCCTCCTCCTCCTGCTGCTGCTGCTGCTGCTGACCATGACCTTGCGATTGTCCTGCTGCCACTGGCCTCAGTATCATGAAACTTACCAGGGCCGTCGTTCTCATGAAGCCACCTAGATCACGATTACTGCTGCAACCGCCGTCCAGGCTGCTGGGCCTGGCGGGGGCCTCGCGGCGGACGAATATAGGGGCGTCAGCAATTGGTAGAATCGGGTTTTGAGACATATTCTAGTACAATTTTCAGAGTTTTCACGGGTTTTGTGTTGACATTTCAACATTCGGGTTTTGGGGCTTGGTTGAGGTTCAGCGCTAGTGTGTTCTACTTTATGGGCTTTCCGACTCATGATCCTAAACGTCGTACGGGTTGTTGTTTTTTCGTAGTCATAGTAGCCTTGGCAAGCAGCAGCGACAACAGCAATGGCAATGACATGTGCACTTGTCGCTGTCCCAATAGGGTTCCTAGTGAGTACTGCCTTCCGACATAGCGATGCATAACATTGCACGACGGCTGGAATGCGCTATGAAAGCGGAGATTTCGCGGAAAGGTAAGTTCTTTTACTTCGCATGAAGAGAAGAAAGGCTAGTTAAGAGAAGGATTTAACAGAGCCAGCTCTAGAGTCTGATTATATGGCGTCGGATGTGTAGAATACTTGGAGGGGAGCTTGAGAAGAAGAGTCCACAAGACGGGAGGTCTAGATCATACGGGGGAGACCACGCAAGTAAATGTCAGTTGCAGAAGCACAAATAAACGACTGAATGCGCACCTTGAAACAAATTCATGCACATATGCACACACAGTAGTTATATGTATACTGCCAGCAATCATACTTATGCTCGGACAAACGCCCAGCACGGCCAAGGCCAACGGGTAAGCCCTAAGGCAAGGCATGCCTACATGCACGATATTACGTGGAAGAGCTATTGCGGGGGTGTTGATGAGTTTTGAATATGAAGCCACCCCTTCCTGCCTCCGACCTCGGTCCAGAACAGGCGCTGCTCGATTGGTGGGTTGGGAGTAATGGGAGGTCGGGGTGTCGAGATGGGCCAGAGACTAGTCATAAAGGTCAAAATATGCCAGGCGCGGAACATTTTGTGATCTTCCTAGAAGGCGATGGGTCGAACCGGGATTACGCAAACGCGAACACTGCCAATCTTGAGAAGAAAAACCAAGCAACTTAACGGCAGCACCTGCGACGACCCAGTACGGCCCCAGGATTCGAGACAATATAGAAGCCTAGATAACTACCAATACTATTTTGGGTGTTCCTTATTATAATTATAGCATTCTGGGCCCCAAAACCCTATTCCAATTGTTAAGGCCCCTATATTACTCATACAGTGGCAGCAAAGCCAGGCATTTCTATACAATGCAGCCCCTGTTCCGCGTTCTGAAGGTGCAAAGGCGGGCACTAAAGCCTTCACCCCGGATCCTAAACCCTTCTGTAGGGTCGGAATAATGTATTCCCTGCTAGTCCCTAGATAGTTAATGTTATAGTTATAGTAGACCTCGTCGCCCTCTTCCAATAATGGGATCGTCGGAGGCCGAGCTTGCTTGAAGCAAATTTGCAGCTCAAGCTGAATGAAGGAGCAGAACTTCACGAGTGCAGTCACGATCATGGCATGTTATCGGTTCTTGAAGTCGACGGAGTACGAAAGATCCTGAACCCAACACCCTCAAGCCTCAAACCTAAGCCTGACGCGCGGCCGGCGGGGATGAATTTGCTGCCATGGCTTCTGCTCGCTGTCGGCAGAGGGGAGTTGTGCCTGCCAGATGGAATCCCAGAAGCTGACCGGGAGTTCTTGCAAAGAAGTACCGGTGAGCTCGATGTGATTCTAGGTCCCAGCCAGCAGTGCTCTTCAGCCTTTCTTTGGGGCTCCCTTCATAAAAAAGCTGAAGAATGGGAGATACCGGGTAGCCTTTTTAAAAAGGGCGGGAGCCCCCAGGATTCAGCTCTTGGCTTTCTCGTGGTCTTCGGCGGAGCTCGTGTCCATCATCGCCAGGATTGTGGTCGAAGAGGCGCGCAACGCCCGATGAATTTTTGTCGTAGCTTCTGCTTCGTGTTTCCCTCTTGCGTACTGGGGCCTTAAGTGCTAGAGCAGAGGGTCCACTTGGAGGCCAAGTGGGCCTGGCTTGGGGCAAATTTTGAAGCCTTAAAAAGACAAGCTCTACAGGCCGCCTCACAGCTAGTGCGTCCATCGGCCCCAATGGGGATGTTCAGATGGCCTGAGGGGTATATTTTCTAGCAGGAACGATGAGGGGGAACTATAAGGGATTATTTAGACCCCTGTGCTACCGGAGAGAGCTTGCCTTGACCCGTTTTTCGGGCGGGCTGTAGATGCATAACAACACCGCTAAAGCCCCAAATCCTAAACCCTACCTCCCTAAACCAAAACGCCTGTGCAAATGGCACGAGCCATCAGGCGCCCTTTGGACATGTCATTTACCTGTTGTAGACTTTTTATATACATCCTACTCTTGTTTGGGATGCTTACGTTGCTTACATGGCCTCCAAGCGTGTGCAGTGTGGTAACTAGGAGTTCGTTTTGCCGATAGTCCGCGATCGTTGCGTATAGTCGCCCCGATCGTCCCTGGTGACTTCTTGCATAACAACCCTGAACCGGAAACCCGAAACCCTAAACCCCTAAACCCCTAAACCCCTAAACCCCTAAACGCCTGAACCCCTAAACGCCTGAACCCCTAAACGCCTGAACCCTAACCCGAAACCCTAAGAGCAACCAGCAGGTCTTGGGGTACAGAGCCTCCATCAGTGACCTCCGACCGCTGGCGGCTGCTGGGTTCTTCTTCAGGAGCCCGAGTGAAGCTACAAAAGCCCATGTTTGTTAAAACAACCTATTCAAGGAAAGCATCTTACTTAACAACTTCCTAACATTGTGTCCAGCTCCCAAGTAAAAGTAACTTTTGTCCCTGAAGTCCTCTGTACACGCCGCTTCAGGCACGATCAAAGCTCTATAAGGCCGTACACTACCATGTACGACCCTTTCCAACGCCCATCCGAAGCTCTTGAAGTCGAGCCCTAAACTTTTAAGCCGTGAAGCCGTGAAGCTCCTTCGGAAGAGCTCAGGTTTTGGATGCAGCTTTGCCGCTCTCAGGTTGCAGAAGCACCAACTGCTCCGAGTTATCCCCTCAGGCCCAAGGCTTGGGATTTAGGCTTCAAGGGGGGTACGGTAAAGGTTATAATAAGGGTTACAAGTGTTACCAAGAGGGTTACTGTCTGTTCGTGGGGTCTGCCGGGGGTTTAGCGGTATGGCGTCGGGGCTTAGGAGTTTGAGGGCTTAGAGGCTTTAAGGGCTTCAAAGTATTTTAAGAGGCTTAGGCGGTTTTTTGGGGTGTCGGAGTTGGCCTTTTTCCCGGGAGGTGGGCCACATAGCTCTAGAGACCTGGATCGGAGCATATGGCGCGGAGTTTCAGATTTTCAGAGAACGCCATCCGAGCAGAGTTCCCGAAGATCTCGGTACCATGGGCTACTCTGGTGAGGAGGCAATGTATGTCTCTCAGGATGTCCTCCAGGAAGCCTATGGAGCTACCGGGCACACCCTGCAGTTCTACATGAGCTACAATACCTCGAACTATGATGCAGCTTGGTGGTCCACTGCTTGTGTTCTTTTAAGTTAGTCCTAATCCGCGGAGCCCTAACCTCCCCTGGGTAATTTTGGTAAGGCAAAGAAGCACTTCGACAAGCTGACGGACCTGCCAGCCGAGGACTGAAGACGGGAAATGCTTCCCTGCGGGGCAGCAAACACGGAAGGTCAGTAGAATGAGCAAGGGGGTGTTTTTAGGGCTTTTAGGGTTTAGGGTTTAGGGGTAGTAGAAGTAGAAGTGGAAGTGGAAGTGAGGTGGACTACTGCAGTAGCCCGGTAGATGTAGCAGTGGCAGTATAGCAAAAGAGCCTTATTCAGCGGCAAGAGCAGTGAGTTGGTGTACTGTTTGCCCGTCTCACCTTCGATCGGAAGCAAACCCCAACTCCCCGCCTTGAGCCGCAGAGCCCTAAAACCAAGCCAAACAAAACACCCTAACACACTTCTGCCCTAGGCCCTAGGACCCTCAACCCCAGAACCTTCAAAGCGCCCTACAAGAACCTGAGCAGAACCCCCGCGAGAATGAAGAACCACAACCCTGAAACGAGAGGAGATCGCCTTCTGCAACGAGACGGGGCGGCTCTGGACCGACCCCGGCATCGATTTCAGCATCATAGGTAACGGGGGCCTGAATATTTGCATGGTATGGTGATTTGGAATAACTATTTCAGAATCGTCGCCCTGTTTAAATTATTCAGGCCACCATATCATTTTCAGGGATAAGAGACTGTGGGTTTTTGTTCAGGGCTCTTTTCAGGGTACTATAAATGAATTTGGGGCTTCGGGTTTAGGGCTTAGTGTTTGGGGCTTTGGGGTTTGAGGGTTCGCATTTGAAGGTTTTCGGGTTTAGGGTTCCTTAACCCTTACAACAGACGTAAGGGGAAAGGTTGAGGGTGCCATAAATCCCGACAGCACTGTCGGAAGACCCTCGAAGAAAGCCCAGGATACAACGGCCATGAACCCGTACGCCCAATGGACGGGTGATCTCGACGGCCTCGTCGAGGCTGGCAGCAGGTTAGGGTTTTTGGGGTTTAGGGCTTGGGATGGACGGGGTTGCGTTTAAGGTTAAGGCTGCAGGGTACATGTTTTCAGAAGTGTTGCCATGACAATCAGCTCTGAGGTTGCGTTTCAAGGCAAACTGGGGCCCAGAGTGTGTGACACTGCCACTAAACCTCAAACTCAGGGTTTGTGATTGCCCTTGTGAGAGATTTCTGTAAGCAGCTTGTGCCTACTAAAGGCCGAAAGCCTGAAGCAGTACTGTCTTGAGCCTCGGGATGTCTGCCAGGTTGCCGGAGGATATCACGCCAAGTGTCCCGACGGGCGCTTCTGGATTTCCCCAGCTTGTCGTCACAACGCGTCGAAGTGTATTCCAGTTGTATCTAACCGTCTCGGGTGGCTGGTGGACACGTTCATGTTCTGGTCAGCTGCCTACGGGATGCCCACCGCCATCGGAATATCGCTGAGTGTTCAACTGCATATAGATCATTTTACCAACCATCGAAGCCTGACCTACTGGTATCGACCGGATGTGCGGTTTGCACATCTGGACCCGCAGCCAATTATATTCCCGAGGCACCGCGCGAGTGAGTGGGCACAGGGAAACAAGCGAAGCATGACCCAGGGATCCTACATTGGGAAGCTCGTTGCCCGCGAACTGTGCTTTCAGGCTTTCAATGCCTACGAGTTTGTGAAGAATATGGAGTTTGATTTGTCTGAAGTGCAAACTCAGCTGATGAAGGTGGCCACGGAGAATCAATCGCTAGAGGTGGTTGCGTGCCACTGGGTCCTTTCAAACAGCCAGAGGTGGAGAAATTGGCTCCGAAAGGACACAAGCTGCTTTCCTGGGCACGGCCTAGTTGATGCGAGAGGGAGCTTTGTTAGATCCCGTGCCGCAGCCGTCAGTTGCAAATTCTGTTCATCGGGGACAACATCTAGATCGTTAGTGGATGACTCTGGGCAGACCTACACATGTGAATCCTGCCCTGCTGGCACGTATCAGAGCGCATCCGGAGGGACATCATGTCGTGACTGCGAGCCCGGTAGGGTGGGTGCTGTCAATGGGCTCACTGAGTGTGAAGTCTGCACACTTGGAAGTTATGCGAACACCTCTGGGATGACACAGTGCCAGCAGTGTGGATCTGGAGGTGAGCAGTGGACCACAAGTCGTGTGGCGCTCGGACAGGAGAGGTGGCTGGAAGTAGAGGGGGCCCCTGACGAGAGCTTCTGCCATTGCAGATCCGGCTGGTTTCTCCATGATGGAGCATGTCAAGTATGTAGCGATGGGACAAGTGCGCAGGTTCGGACCAACTGGAACTGCTCCCGGGCTTCTTCTCCAGCCCAGAGGATCCCGGTTCCGTCTTCAGATGTGAGAGTCTTGGCTGGAATATTCCAGAACAGTGCATTCTCAAGTGACCATCCATAACTTTGCAGTATTAATTTATAGTGTGTTTAAAGGTCATCCCGGAACCGTTCAGGAGTGTGGGAGTCTGCCCGGGGGGCTCCCCCGGGACCTGTGCTGCTGGGCGTGAGGTGACGTGGCTCTCGTTTAGTTAATTTAGTTGAAGCTACCACAATGAGGATCTACAAGAAGTAAGCTAGCTTTCCCTTCAGTACTATGATAACTAAAACTTCGCTAAGTTGCTTAACAAAAAACCAGGTTAGCAGCGTGGCCTGCAGCACTTGCCTGACGGGACTACGCCCGAGTGGCGGGACTTGCGAGCCATGCGGTGGAGGTGACTACGTGTTCTTGGTGTTTATAGTTCTCGTGATCTTTCTTAGCACAGGCTGGCTTCATGCTTGGTTTCTCTACCAGGCAAAACACCATATTGTAAGACAAGGCGCGTTACTCAGTGTGACCATGTACATCACACAGCTGGTCGTTTATCTGCAGCTCTTGGTCGTGATCCAGAAGATCGAGGTGAACTGGGGCGAACCTTTTCTTCTGATTCTTGATTGGCTCAGCTTCCTCTCTTTGGAGGCACTCGTCAAGTCGCTACACGCGATCTCCTGCGTCGCGCGGCTCACTCCGACGCTGCAGTTTTTGCTTCAAACTCTTGCTGTACCAGCCGCCTTTATGGTAGCACCGACATGTACTCACCTCTTTCTGCAGACTCCCTGCGCCCTCCGCAAGCGTCGAAGAGGCAGTTCAAAACTCTACGTGCTTCTCGAGACTCTCGGGTCCCTCTCGGTTCTCTTCTGTATTGTGCTGTGTACGGCTGTGGTGGAGCCACTTCAATGCCAGGAGCATCCAAATGGGATGTCGACGTTGCAGAGCAGTGTCAGCGTGTTCTGCAACTTTACTGGCGTACACTTGCATCTTTGCATCATTGGTGGCATCCTGGGTCTTCTACCACTGGGCTTTCTGTCCTTATGTGCCTGGGCAGTCCTCTGCGAACTTCCGCGACGTGTTCAGATGGCAGACATGAAGTTTATGGTCGCCTTCTCATTCCTCGTTCTGCGCTTCTCTCCGGGCCTCGAGGCTTTTGCGATTTTCCTTCTACTTCGCAACGTGCTCTTCGCCCTGGCGCCAGTGTTGCCTTCTGCCAGTGCAAGCTTGCTGCTTGTACATGCTTTGATCTGCTCGAACTTTTTCGTGGTGGCCTTGTTCAAGCCGTGGCGCACATTACATGCATCTTATTCGGATATCGCAGCCAACATGATCTTTCTCGTCATCATTTTTCAGGCCTCCTTCTTCGTGTCTGAAGTCGACAAGGTCGCCTCAATGGTCCTTTGCACTGCAGCCCTATGTGCCATCCTGCTTGGCCTTACCGGCTTAAGCTTCTACACGATGGCAAAGCTCCTGCTTTCACGCAACGGCAGCTGGCTTGGGGGAACTCTAGCAACGTCGTTTCCAATCTTCCGACCTTTTTTTTGGTTGTGGATGAAAACCTGTACGGCATCACTGGTAACAGCTCTTAAGCTCTTAGTAGCCTGTTGTTTCCAGGAGCCTAGGGGCCTTTATCTGCTGAATATTGAATTTTCAGAAGCCATGATACCCGATACCCTCTAAAGAACCCGGACAGAGCCCCTATGAAACCCCGTAGAACCCCTAGAACAGATTCCATAAGCAGGCCCTTAGAAATATTAAACTAAAGCTCCCTGATGAAGTCCCCTTATAAAGCCCCTTTATGCCCATCAAAGCTCCATAAAGCTCCCTGATGAAGCTCCCTTATGAAGACACTTTCGAAGGCAAGCGCTACCGTTACTTTCTGTCCCACCAGAAAAGCGCGGCCGGGTGTTTGGCGCGACTCCTGAAGATCGAGCTCCAAGTTCGGGGCTGCTCGGGCACAGCATCCTTAGATCAGATGATGTCTGTTATGTGTTGCTTACAATCTGCTGAAGTGCTCGATCCTAGAAATGTATTAATCTCGACTATACGAGATTACACTACGTCAAGTCTTTTTCTTGGAGGTTTAGGGTAAAGGCCCCAACGTCACCCTATGTCCTGAACCGTAGGGTGTCTACCACAGCTCGTGAACACCAAAAAGCTTTGTTTCAGAGTTTAGAGTTTTGGTGCTGTGCACCTTGGGGGCTGTCTAAAGAGTCCATGGCATCCTGACTGTTGACTCATCTCTTGTAAAGCCTCGGCCTTTAGCCCCAAAGCCCCAAACTCCATGGCTCCGAGGGTTGGGTCTAAAGCCTCAAGTAGTAGGATCTTTGGTGCAAGGACCCCGACAAGCGACCCCTATTGCAAGAAGCACCAAATCGTGGTGCCGAAAACCTAAATCCTAATTTCAGCTGAGGGTTAAGCTCCTTCCTGGACGCCGACGATTTGACGGATTTGTCGTGGCTGTTTCTTCGGCACGAATGGAGCGTGAGCCATTTGAGTATGTTCCAAACGCGAGACAAGTACTGTGGCCCAACAGCCTGTTCTACCCTCTTCTCATGATTCCGGCTCCCGCACTAAACCCTTATAGTAAACCTTATACTGCGGCCAAGTTCATGGCCAGAGAGATAGTATGTGCGTCAGCATACCAGAAATAGTAAGAAGTGGTAACGACGTGTCCGTCATGCTCGGAAATCAGGAAGTCTTCGCAACATGAACTGTAACTTATAAAAGTGTTAGTGCTTGTGCCCGAATTCCACCTCTACTCAACCAGCCTCTCGTTGCCTGCCAGACAAACTACCATTGAATGGCATGTGCTGTAAATAAGAGCGTTTGCGTGGTGTTGGATTCGGTCAGGGTGAGCGTTGTCATGGGTGGCGACATGAATTCAGTGATACTTCTGTGGTCTTCCAATGTTTCGAAGCGTGATTTTGTGCTTGGGATGTCAATATCTCGGATGGGTTCGTATACTTGGAGGTCGGAGAGCAAATAGGGCCCCGGGCGGAGGGGCTGGAGGTGCTTGCAGCACCGTTGGTGGCAGCGGTGATGGCTGCTGTCGTCGCAGTAGTAGCAGTAGAATAGTAGAAGTGGTCGCAGGATTAGTGGTTGCAGTAGTAGTTGTCGTCGTGGTAGCAGCAGCAGCAGCAGGAGTAGCAGCAGCAGCAGCAGGAGGGGGAGTAGTAGTAGTAGTAGTAGTAGTAGTACCACGTCGTAGTCGTCGTCGTCGTAGTAGTAGTAGTAGCAGCAGCAATTCATAATACTATTTGCTGCAACTACAAACATTGCTACTGCTTTTTTGCATCAGCTTGAGGATCTGTGAGGCAAGAAGCCTGTCATCTCGGGCATAGGGTCCTGGTTTGTGGCTAGGAGTGTCGGGGTTCGTGTTGAGGGTTAGGATACACTTAGGGATTATGTGGGTTGTGGGCTTGGGCTGCAAGGCTGGCGGTGGTAGTTGTACTAACCGTTTGAAACTACTGCTAGCAATCACGATAGTAGAATGCTTAGTTCCACGGAGATCAGTGGCATGATAACATCACTACTGAGCCGCTTTAACCTAGTGCGCTAAAACCCTGGAATCGTAAATCCAAAAGTCGAAATCCTAAAACCCATGCGTCTGAGCAAAGCTTGATGCTCACGGCCCTGGGTGCAGTTCAAGCCCAGAAGTCGCTTAAGGCTTTGGCCTTCAACCTGGTTCCAGTGCTGCTTCTTGGCCAAGCATAGTTTGGGCACAACGCCAGGGAAGAGATTCTAGCATGCTTAGCCGTTAGCCGTCAGGGATGGGAGATGGGGCCTCCAGGTGTTTCTGCAAGGCCTGGCAGATTAAAGCGGCTTCGTCGAGCTAGTAGAGCTCTAGGATTTGTTCTATGGTGGGAAGTGGGTGGCTCAGTGGATGCAAGCCCAAGGCCTGATGTGCATAAGCCGCAACTGCAAATTGTGCTTGCCAGCCACAACTGCTAATTGTGCTTGCCTGCCCTTGACCGTCTGTCTGTCTGTCTGTCTGTCTGTCTGTCTGTCCGTCCGTCCGTCGGTCTGTCTGTCTGTCTGTCTGTCTGTCTATTTCTAGTAGAAGGGTACATAACAGACACTGCAGTATTTGTCTAGTACTACTTCTGACGCTACGGTACATCCTATGCCAAGGCACCCAGGATTCCTCAGACTCTTCGAGAGTGGCTCCTGCTCGCCTGGGTTTGCCTTTCGGCAAATGTCGTGGGCTTGTGCAGCCGGCATGTTGGCCAGCTTAGCCCAGGCAGTTTAGCCCGCCGCGTAAGGCAGCTGCACAAATTTTGAACCTCCCTCTCTTGTGCTCCATGGCTACAGGTCCTGCGCCTAGAAGTAGCAGCTTACGCACCCGGGCAAATGGTCGAATCAGATGTGACTGGCAGTTACTTTGGCAGCTTCCTGTGATCGCTGTCGCTTCTCTAGCACCAGCTCAAAGCTTTGCTCCGAAAGCAACTCTGTTTGCGTCTGTTCAAAAGATGAGTTTGCTTCCTAGACTACTACATGACTCTCAAAGATCTTTCCTGGCAGGACGAGGAGGACGAGTTTTTCGACTGCGCCGAGACGGATGCAGACCTGTGCCGTCTCCGGAGCGCCGATCCCTCGGTCTCGGGGTTGTTGCAGGGATCTGGAGTTTGGGTAATGGGCCTGCGAAGGGTTCAAGCACTGCAGCGTCTACAATGACTCTGCAATACTCATAGCAAATACGACCCTCACGGCTCGCAATGCTGAGAACAGCAATGATGACGACAGTAGTCCTGGCAACGCAGGCTTCAATGTAGACGAAAAGAACAAGCAAACCATACATACATGCATACATGTATGCCATCATGCCTGTGAGTGTTTGCGTACATCTGAAGGTACGTGTTTTCACACACACGTGCAATCTGCCTCTCCTGCGCCTCCTCTTCCTTCTCCTTCTGGCAGCTGGTAGTTTTGTTATTGTTATTATTATAAGTAGACTAGCAGCAGTGGTGCGGGTCAGGGGTTATGAATGTGAGGATGCTGGTGTTGATTTCTCACCAACATCACTTGCCATCGCAGTCATCATCATCATCATCGTCTTCTCCTTGATTCGCGGCAAGAGAGTGTCTCTCGTCCTGCGGGCGCCATATCAACTCGCTTTCAGCGAGCCGGCTGCTTGTAGCAACTGGCACGAATGCCCTTTTGGGGACATCTGAGCTGAAACAGGACCTTCAAAGGCGTGCTAGTCGTCCAGGGTTAGCAAATACGGCATGGTCACCGAAGCTGGACATTTGTTGTGCCATGTTTTGCGTGCCATTGCCAAGCGATCCTCGAGAATGGTAACCCGATCACAGAGCCTCGTCAGTGTTTGTTGAATCGTCTCTAGCCCTTCTGCCAATGCTACCAGCTGCTTTGCCCTGCCAAGATCGCCTTTATTATCTAACGACCCACCATCCCCCAACAGTCATCAGGTACAAGCATCGAGGCCTGAGTACCAGAAGCAGCAAGCCTGGACTCCACACCTCAAGCATCAAAGCCCAAAGCCTCCAGCGAAACGGAATGCTGAACCATGAGCAAACACTCGGCCTCAAAGCTGAAACCCGGGGCTTCAGCCCCAAAGCCCTGCAACCAGCTTGAATTCGAACCTACAGACGAAGCCTTGAAGCTCCTCGGGCCTAGGACATCTCGATTGCATCTACCCCCTCAACTCGCATCCCGGACCCCGACCTGCCTTTTTCGCCGGCTGAAGCTTTAGGCTGCATTCTAGGGTGCGTGTGAGCTTTGGGACTTGGGGCTTGAGGGTCTGGGTTTGGCTTTCGGGTCATCATAGGTCGTGTCAAAGTAGGAGCCCGTTCTGGGGCCTCGTATGATGAGAAGCTCTTGTTTCAATATACACATGTCATACATGCATGCATACATACATACGTACGTACATACATACATACACGCATGCATATATCAAACCTGCCATATATATATATACACATATTTATATGTTTGTATATGATGTATATGATGGATGTACATGTATAATATAAAGATGTATAAATAAATAAATAAATACACACACACACATATATATATATATACACACAGTGATATGCATGTTTCTGTCTCTATCGATATAGATGTATGATAAATGATATACGATTTAGTAATATAAGACATATGATATATGAAACGTGTTATATGGTATGTTGTATATGATACATGATACATGATCTGCTATAAATTTGTGATCTATGATATGGTATATACATATACCTATCACACATCACATACCATATAACATATACCATATGCCATATTCCATACACACCAAGTCTTACAGTAGGCGGTCCGATGGAGCTTAGACGTGGGCTGTCGTGCTAGCGGATGCCAAACTTGGTTCCGAAAGTAATCGCCAAACGAGTTACTAGAACTGGTTCCTAGGGTGTTGCTGAACATATTTACAGTGTAACACACCCCAAAACCACAACATCTACAGTGTAACATACCCCCCCCAAAAAAAAACCCTTTTTCTAGTTCTTAGCGGTACTACATGAAACTTGATTGTCTCACCATCATCTCGAGACAGCAGGTGCTTACTACGAAGGTTTGAAGACCTAGGGAGGTGCTGGCTGAACCGGTCTGCTAGGGATTCGAGGATACTGGGGATGTTCCGGATTGGACAGCTTTATTGGCTAGGGTTTCGGTTCAGGATTTGTAGAACCTACCATAAAAAATAGGCTTTTTGCTAATGCTATTGCATGAAAGCCAGCGTCGAAAATCAAAATGTAGTATGCCTCATGCCGCACCCCTTAAACTCTAAACCCTGAACCCGAAACCCTAAACCCAAACCAACTGCAAATGTTAAGGCCCCATATTATGTGGCTTAGCTTCCGGATGCCGCAACAAGTCGACAGATTGGTAGATGCACTCAACTGTCCTAGGGACTATGTGAACTATAGCTATAACAAGGACTGTCAGGGGATACTTTGGCTATAGCAGGAACTTGAAGAAGTATGTCAAACAGGAAGGCCGAGAGCACCTTGAGCCGCGATCGATGAGAGGAGTCTTATGGCGGAATCAGCTTCAATTCTGGGTGGCATCAGACTTCCTCTCCTTGTCTGGAGGAGGCCCCGTGCCTGAGTCCTCCTCATCTTGGTTGAAGCAGGTGCTTAATGTCTGATTTCTTGGGCTGTTTCAAACTTCGTGACCCTAACATCATGTACGTTTGAGGCATATCTTGTCGTCGTAGAAACAAGTATAGCAGCACATTCACGGCAGTGATATCAAAAGAGGTATGCATCTTCGTGAAAGGAATGACCATGAAGACAACAGCTGCGACCATCATAGTTGGAGTCGAAGTTGGCTTGCCGGCGCTGGTTCCAGTGCACCACGAGTAGGATCGTGCCGGTAGCCACACAATGCGCGCGTATACAGATACACATATATGTTCTTTTTGGTATATAAATATATATATGTATAAATACATATGTATATATGCATATTTGTATATACACATACATATATATATATACATATGTAAATATATATATATATAAATATATATATATATCTATACATATATATATATATATAAGTATATGTATATAGAGTTTACGTATGTAGAGTATATGTATGTGTATATATGTTTATATATAGTTAGGATGTGTTCGTGGGTATGTGTATATATATATATATATGTATATATATATATACTCATATAAATACATACATACATACATACATACATACATATATACATACGTATATATATATATATATATGAACAGTTTGTATACATGCATACCCACATACACACATGCATACTATGCATGCGGCAGACATGAGTTTCGTAGCCGTGCTAATGGTAAGTGCAGTTGCGGTGTTGACATGAGCAACACGACGAGGAATAGCACGGAGCTCTCTCAAACCTGAACGCTAAGCTTGATCACCAACTTCATAACCCTAAGCTCGAAGCCTAAACCTCAAACTCTACACCCTGAACCATTCGGTATTGCTTTTGACCAGCAGGTTGGTGATCCGACTGAGATCGCTTTGACCTCAGACTCCGCTTCAGCGGAGAGACTGCGCAGCCAGTTTAGGGTCTCGAGTGTAGAGAGTACGTCTCGTCCAACATCACAGATTTGGGATTGCGGTCGTGGGTTCAGAAGTGAGAGTTTCGTTTACGGACTGCAAGTATCCACGGCAGCCACATTCGAGGCGGGCAATAGCATGGGGGCCCGTATACTTAGCAATATTCCACTATAAATAATCCTCTCCAGAACCCTGGTCTGATATTAGAGGCTTCCAGATTATTCGAACACAGACGTTCCACATCTGAGGCCAACGCGATGGCCCTGCTGGGACGCACGAGGCGCGGCTTCTTGGAGAAAAGCGCAGTGCAGTGGATTTTTGGAAGGCTATCCGCGCGTCTTTCCTTTCAGAGTTAGAGTTCCCATCAGTCCGAAGTTTCCTAGGCGTAGTACCAGCAGCCGCGGTGGCTCCGCCTCCTCGTCCTCGTCCTCCTCATCGTCGTCATCGTCGTCATCATCATCCGCATCATCATCGTCACCATCCTCATAACCTTTGTCATACCCTTGCGTGTACTCATACTGTTACTCGCATTCATGCTCATATCCGTTCGCATATTCACATTCGTATGAAGATGCATATTCATATGATCCGGAATTCGTCACAGTCACCGTCTTCTTCTTCATCGTCACATCCTCGTTCCCTTCTCCTAACTACCACGATCACCACCACCATCATCATCATTATCGTCGTCATCGTCATCATCATCATCATTTTGTTGCTGTTGGTTTGCGTGTCGGTGTTGTTGGTTTGAGTGTCGTTTCGGTTGTTGGTTTGGTTGTTGTTGAGGTTGTTGGTTGGGTTGCTGTTTTGGTTGTTGGCATGTTGTTGTTTTGATGGTTGTCGGTTGTTGATAATGCTGATGGTGCTGGTGCTGGTGCTGGTGCCGGTGGTGGTGGTGGTGGTGGTGGTGGTGGTAGTGGTGGTGGTGGTGGTGGGGGTGGTGGTGGTTGTGGTGGTGGCGGCGGCGGCGGCGGTAGTGGTGATCAGGGTCGTGGTCGTGATGGTGATGATGATGATGATGTTGATGATGTTTGGTGTTGACGATGCTGAGGATGTTGTTGCTGGTGATGATGCTGGAGATGCTGATGATGCTGGTGTTGAGAGGATGCAAGCCCCTGGGCCCAAATTCGTTGAGTTTCCCATAGATCTTTCGACGCGTGTAGCCGTATGAGCGATGGCAGCCCAGACCTGGACTCGGGGCTGGTCACTCCAGACATGGACCTCACTCCTCATGATCACCAGCATGGTGGGGCTCCAGCCAATCTCGGCGCAGTGGCCCCGAAAGGACCTCCACCGCCGCCAGGAGCTTTTGTGGACCGAGACACACCACCAGCCGACGCTACCATGGAACGAGCCTCCCAAGCTCAAAGGACTGATGACCGTAGAGCTGCTGACGGACGAGCGACGACCGAAGCAGCCCCAGGGAGGGGCATGGTGGCACCAAAGGCACGGGCCGAAGGAGATGGAGCAGACCACTCCTCTACATCCTCCAGCCCGGTGGCCAGCTCGGACAGCGACAGCCCAGGAAATGTATCCTACAGCTGGTCGGAAACCAGTTTGTTCCTGGAGGGACACTCCTTCGATGAAGCAGTGGAAAGGCTGCATACACTCTACAGACAAGAGCTGCAAACGCGTCGAGTGCCGGGCCGATCGCAAGCTGGATGTTTGGCTGGATTGCGACGAAAGACCAACCGGTCGAATTGGTACCAAGTGCAAGCAGAGGCCAGGCAAAGGCTTACAGGGCAGCGACTGGAGGAATGGAGCCAGTTTGAGTATGCCGCTACCCATGAAAAGCGACGACGCCGCCGAGAGCGATCACGTTCTCCAAGGGCAGCTGCCTAACCTCGACCTGCATAACGCCCCTTTCAGGCCACGCAGCCTCAGGGCAGTTGTCTTTCAGAAGCCCTGTCACCTGCACCCGCACTTTCAGAGCCATAAACCTCGCAGGCGACACAAGCAGCCGCTACGACATTCAGGCCGCGACACCGCGTATGATCCAGGAGCCGCCAAACCCACACCCCCTAGTAGTTTCGGTTTAGCTCCCCACAGACCCAAGATAAATAAGCCCCGGCAATGTAAAGGGTTACTCAGAAAACCAAAGGCCTTTCCCGGTCCCAAGTCCGGGACTAGTCTCTTGCACATGTGCTTAATTTTTAGCCTTCAGGAGACTAGTGGGGTGAGGGTTCCTTCTGTTACCACGACAGGAGGTGGACCTGTGGCTGTCATGACAGCTGCGGGGAAGCAACGTGGTACAGCGCGCACCACGGCGTCAGCACCTCAAGCCCCGACACAACCCATCCCAAATATCCTGAAAACAGCGAAACGTGCCTACAGGCGAGCTCGGCATCGAGCTCATGCTTCAGCCGAGCAGGGAACATGGTACCGCGGCAGGTGGCACACCACTGCCTCCTTAGGCCGCCTACCCCCACCAGAAGCCCCCTCTGCTCCCAGGTCCAAGAAGCCCAGAGGCAAGCCGTCAGCGTGTCCGCCAAGGCACTTGCATATCCTGTCTTGGAACACCAGTGGTCTAGGCGGGCCCTTGTTCCAGGAACTGCTTGCATGGTGTGAACTAAACACGGAATTAGATGTCATAGTGCTTCAGGAGACACACTGGGCAGAAACCGGAGATTTCACATCAGGGCCCTGGCTAGCCATGCATACGTCCGGCAGGAACTCGACAGACGGATACGGCAAATCCGCTGGACTGCTATTTCTGCTCCGTCGGAGCACCTTTCAGGACCCTCGCATTCAAGAGCTAAGCCCGGGAAGACTAGCCTTAGTCCAGGCCGCTGTCAAATGCACTGGCCTACCCTGTAGTATCATAGGGGTTTACCAGCACGTATGGCGTACCCATCTGACTTCGGTGCAGAATAAAGAACTCCGAGGAGTCATCTGGCAAACACTGGAAAACACTGTACAAGCAGTGCCAGCCAGACACAGCCTGGTAGTCTGCGGAGATTTCAACTCCACCCTGGGTCATGAGAACCCCATTGCAGGGCCTGCAACCACCACCTGTGCAGATCATCATGACACCGACCTTAGAGCATTGATGCGCCGACAGTCCCTCACGGCCTTGAACACCTGGCATTGCAAGAACCACCATACTTATTATGCAACAGGGAGCACCTCCCAGATCGATTTCGTGATGACTCGGCAACGAACTGCCAAACATCGAGCCAAGTATGCCGCTCCCCTGCACTCCTTTCCAATCGGAGCCACGCGACTCAATGGACATTTTCCTCTTCATGCTCAGCTACCAATGCACACATTTCACCAACAGCCACCATCCTCGCATGCCCAACTCGTTCACAACTCCTCTGCCCTTCAGCAAGCCGTGCGAAGCCACTCTCCTGTGGCCCAGGAGCTGCAGCAAGCTGTGGCAGCCCGTCTGCCAGAGGTGGACACGACTCACCTCCTCAGTGCCCATGACCATGTGAATCGCATTCTGTTGGAGGAGACACGTCGCCTCTTCCCGCCCTCTGCAGCCCCAGACAACCGTGTCAGTGCTCAGCCAGGCTATCGTGTTTTCGCCAAGCATGTCTGGAGCCTGTATAGCCGCCTGAAACATCCAGGCGTCTGCACCTTCCGCAATATCTTTGCAAAGTGGCGCCTCGCCACTGAGTTTAGCCAGGCCTCTCGCCGTCTTCGTCAGCAAAGCAAACAGCATAAGAAAGCCTTCTATGAGTCACAGGTTGAACTTGCCGAAGAAGCCGCTGCACGCGGAGACCAGCGAAGTCTGCACCTCATAGTCCGTAGGCTGTCACCCAAAGAGCGAAGCATTGCAAGCCGCCTTCGAGGCCAAGATGGAGCTCTGCTATCCAGAGATGCCGAACTACAGGCCATTGTGCAGCACAGCAACCAAACTTTTGCTGTGCACTCGGATGACACCCCGCTCATTCCCCTCAATACTGATTATGGCATCTCGGATGAAGCATTGGCAGCTGAACTCAGCAAGTTAGGCCTGGCCAAAGCTGTGCCCAAGCACATTGCCCCGTGCGCAGCCTGGAAGCTGTGTGCTACCAACATAGGCGCTATCTTGGGCTCTGCCCTCCGAGGCCATCTCAAGCAAGGCACAACTGCCCGCTTGGATGCCGACTGGAAGGACTCCTATGTCGTCTGGATACCCAAGCCCAACAAGCCGCCGGTTAATGTGGCCTCCTTACGACCCATAGGCCTAACCAGTCCTGCGAGTAAAGCCCTTGCCGGTAGCCTGAGAGCCTCCCTCCTGAGCCATCTTGAGCCCGAGCTCAAGGTCCTACCTCAATTCGCCTACTCCAAGCACCGGGGCACAGCTGATGCCATAGCCAAGGCCCATTGCCACTTTCATCAGGTGGATCTCCTCCTTCAGCAAACCAAGGCCGACCGCTTCCAGCAGCAAGCTGGCCACCGCAACCGTCAACGCGCAGGAGGCTTGTGCATTTCTTTGGATCTCTCTCGTGCATTCGATGGTGTGACCCGATCACACATTTATCACGAGATGCAGAGACAGCAGGTCCCCCAGGATCTCATCACCCTGGTGCAGCAATTGCACAAAGACGCCCAGTACAAGTTTCAGGTTGGGGACATTCGAGGTTCAACTGTCAGTACGAATGGCATCAAACAAGGATGTGTTATAGCTCCCTACTTGTGGAATTACTTCACCATTACCTTTCTTTCCCTTCTCAGGCAACAACGGAGCTTAGAGTGGATTCAACGCGTTTTGTCGCTCTTCGCTGATGATGTATGGGGAGCATGGCTCATAACCTGTAAATCTGACCTCACATCTGCCATTGAAGACGTTGCCTTGATACTGGCCACCCTGGAAAACCTGCACATGACCGTCAACTACAGCAAGACGGCCATCCTGCTTAAACTTACGGGCAAGGATGCCAGCAAGCTCCGTCGGGACCACACCTTCATGAAGGCGGGACAGCTGCACCTGAAGCTCCTCATCAATGGCAGAGAATGTAGTGTGCCGATCAAGGAACAACATGAATATCTTGGCACCATCGTCACATATAAAAGCAGGCTTGAGCGCAACATGACACATCGTATCAAGGCTTGTCAGCAGCGGTACCAAGGCCTTCGCAAACTGCTGAACGGGGCCCACCATCTTAGTACCATCTATCGCATTCGGCTTTGGCGAGCGTGTGTTTGCACTAGTGTGCTTTATTCGCAACACATAGTGGGAGTTACCTCCAATACCCTTCGTCGCCTCACTACCCTCTTAACACGTCACCTGCGAGCCATTCTCAGGGTCCCCGCACACCTTACTCATGTAACAAATCATGCAGTTTGGTCTCAGGCCAACCTCCCACAGCCTGGATGGCAGCTCCAGCAAGCTCTGCTGACACATCGCGACAGGCTGCAATCCCGACACAACACTGACCCCGACATAACCTCTACTCCGCAGGCGCTGGCATTTCTTGATCAACAAGCTGCCCGCATGGAAGCTGTTCTGATGAAGGAGGCACGAACTCTGGCCAGTGAAACTTCAGAATTGCCACCGGTTAACTGTCCGAAGTGTGACAGGGCATTTCCAACGGAAAATGCCATGCGGATCCACTGCAGCCTACAGCATAAGCATTTGCCTCAGCTACAAACTAAAGTAGACACAAGCTTTGATCCCGCCATTCATGCCCAGGCGGGCATGCCGGCTTGCCGACTTTGCGGCCGTCAATTCTTCAGGTGGACGCATCTTAAGCTTCACATCGAGAGCAGTGCCTGTTCGGCCTTGGGTGGAGCAAGTCACACACGCTCTCCCATGCCAGATTCGCTGCCAGCGAAGATTCAGGAGCCACCGACGGCTCGGCTCCCGATTTTTGAGGGCGAAAATGCTCAGCACTTGCCTCTTGTCAGACGCCAAGCTTTTCTTGAGCGGTGCACACAAATCGAGCACTGGCTTGCGATGCCAGCCGTCCGTCAGGAGCTCAAAAATCACTGTGCTCTGTGCCACATGTGGATTGCATCCTTCAGACACGTGAAGCAGCACTACAATCGTACTCATGCGAATGAACACCCTGACCTTCTCCCGAGAGCACTTCAACTGTGTAGCTCTTTCAAGTCCCACCTTCGACGGAACAGCACCTGCATCTGGTGCGGCCACACTGTTGGAGCCCCGCAAAGGCACACCCAGCAGTGCACTCCCCTGGTGCAACTTCACCTTGCATCGCTGCACTGCCAGGATGTTCATAGACCGGGACCATCTTCTGAACGAGGAGGCGGAAATCTTCGCAGGTTACTGGGACAACCAGCCGGACGAGTACTACCTGTCCGAGACAGCACCACGCTCTCAAAAGAGACACCGCCCAGAGCAGACACCTCGCTGGAACCTCCCGCCACGCAGGACATCGACTCATCCGAGCTTTACGGCACACGGACCCCTTCGCGACCCTCGAGCACCGCCTCACTACCACCAACAGGACCAGCTCAACCTCCTCAGCAAGGTGGTCTTGAAACAGGAGGAGATAATCAGCCGGTTGCGCCACGACAAGATCTTCGTATTGTTCATGCGCAACGAAACCAATGGCACGCTCGGGACCCTCATGAAGATCGCGAAGGACTGGCGCAGCAAGAAGAACATGGAGGAGGCTCAATTGCAATCTCCTCTCAAAACAGTCCTGCTCGCCAGCATGCTTCGCGAGGTGATGAATCTTGCACAGCAAGCCGTGGCCACGGAGGAGGCCAAGGCCAAACATGTTCAATCCGAATGGCTGACAAGCCAGGGTGCGTGGAACTATCGCATCTGGAACCACACCGACAAGAAACTCCAGGTCGATCCCAGCCGCACGGCCCTGCAACACGAAGAAGCCATCAGATTGCTAACCTTCCTCCTCCAGAACCTGAAAGGCGAGGCCATACAACGGTTCGCGGCGACAAAGCAGCTGGGAATCCTGGAACAACAAGGAGCCCAGGTGGCCACTTTTCACATCGAGGTCTCGCTTCGTGGACGAGTAGCCCTCGAACTCTACGAGACTCTGGAGAAGTTGGCCGGTTGCTCCCTGCTGAACCTCATCGGAGTTTCCATGAAGAAGGACACCCTTCCGTGCACCCCGATGGCAAGGAAACTGGGAGATATGGTATACCGCCGCCAAGGACCCCCACCCAGGCACACCCTAAACCTTCTCACCCTAAACCCCCAGCAGCCACTGTGTCACAACAGCAAGTCACTGGTGACCCCAAGTTGCAAACATCGGACACACACGCAGGCGATGATGATGCGGCCGTACCTTCAATACTCACAGGCATCCGACTGCAAGGCGGCAGCAACAGTTGCTACCTTAACTCCTTTTTGTACGGTTTACATGCTGCTCTTACCCACAGCTGCATGAGCAGCCTCCTGCACAAGGTTTTTGGGCGAGCTTCAGGGGCACCACAAAAGGCATGCCGCCTGATAGGGTTTAAACTTCTGGGTTGGCCAGAACCCCAGCAGCAGCATGACGTCGCAGAGCTCATAGACTTCTTACATGTTAAGATGATCGGCTCCGCGCTCCCAGGCCGCTGGGAATCCAAAGGCTTTTCTGCAGAAGGCTTGGCTATCCAGCCACAGGCCACAGCACATCGATGCATGCGCATACCATACGATGCTGATAACCCCAGTCCATACATACAGGACTCCATCCACCTCTGGCACCAGCAGTCGCAGCTTCAGGGTCTTTCCCACACGCCACCATGGCTTTTCCTACAGCTGCCAAGGTTCCATCATCGAGCCGGAGGAGGAGCTGAGAAGCTGAGACATGCATACATCCTGCCATCAACTCTTGATGTACCCGTATTTCTCAACCAGCATACTCTGGATGTAGTATGGACTTCATACACCGTAGTTGCCTACATACAGCATCATGGCGAGGTCCCTACGACAGGGCACTACACAACAGTTATACCGCATGCAGGGCAGTACTGGCTCCAGGATGATGAAAAAACTCCGCAGCGACTTGCGTCGAATCAGATTGATCACGTCAGCACCAACATGTATGTGCTCGTACTTGCAATTGCACCCACAGCACCTGCAGCTGTTGCTGCTCCGTGTGCCTCCCATGATCGATCTGCCAGTTTTGAGCATGGAGCCCGACCCTCAGCCTCGCACATTGCGAGAAGAGGACATCAACTGGTTCGCGAGCAGGATATCTCTGCTTCGGATGCAAATTCAGGGATTGGCAGAGGGAATGGAATCCCTTCAACAGGCGATCAACCGTATGGACTTCAGAATCCGACAGATCGAGCAGCAGATGCATCAGGCACAGACGCTGCCCACCAGAGCCAACAGTAGCAACAAATGCACGACCCAATGGCGGGTCCACATGCAGCAGCTGGTTATTTCTCTGGAAACCATGGATGACTAAGTTCATCCATCAGGATATCCCGACTCTTTGTACAGTTGATTTCCCTTTGTTGTCCACGACGTTACATTGGGCTGATAACCAACCTTGGGCGTTCACCGCCTCATTTTGCTGACGCCGGCAATCGGCACTAGTGCCTGCCGCCATAAGAGTGGCCAGCCTTTGGAACAAAGGCAGTACCGGGCGCTCGCTGGACGAAGGATGCTCCCTTTCGCCGCGTGGGAAGAAGTTGAGAGGATGCTTCTTCTTCTTCTGCTGATGATGATGATGTTGACATCGAGCGGGATGACTACACGACGACGCCTAATGATGACCACTGGTGATTTTGGTCGATGATGATCACGATTGCGAGGGTGATGATGACAAGGATAACCATAATGATGTGGATGATTTTAGGGATGGAGACGGTGAAGGCCATGATGATGATCAGGATGATGATGTCGCGATGCTGATGATGTCGCGATGCTGATGATGTCTCTGCTTGATTCTTTTCAGTCGTTATGAGTTTTCGTTCGGTTAAGCACCCCAAGCCCGCTGTGGACTAGTCATCGTGAGGCGCAGCTTCTCAGAGAGGAATCCACAAGCGAGCCCCGAAGGGCCGCGAGCTGAGCTGGGCGAAAGGCTACTCATTCTGGTTCAGGGCATCAGGGCCTTGGAGTGCACGATGCGGTTGCAGGACCAGGCTGTGTTTACCTTCATCATACGGTACTGCAGGAACAATCACCGTCAGCATGGTATCGGTGAGGGTCGTGCAGGGTCGTGGTGGGTTGTGGTGGTGGTGGTGGCGATGCCGATTACTGATTACCATGAATCCTGCAAGCTCGAGCCACCTATGTGCTTAGCGAGTTAACTGCGTGAGTGTCGAGCAGGACGCAGCCTCCTATCGCCTGAATGAGCCAGAGCCACCCTTTTGATTACAAATTTGGAGCTTCCATGAAGCCCCACAGCCCGAAGACAAGAGGTCCTGATGCCCAGAGCCTTGCGGGCCCCAGTATCAGCTACCGGTACAGCCCATGTTAGGTGTGGCGACCTGTGGGAAGTTCAGAAACGAGGTACCGTAATTAAGATTAAACTTCAATTAGTGTATGCTTTTTTTGTCAAAGGAAGTCCCCCCTTAAAGAGCCATGTCGTGGAAGACACAACTCAAGGCCTGAGATGGATTGGGCCAATATGGCGACGGCAAGGCCCGGCGCATTCAGCGGGTTTGGGCTTTGGGGTTCACGGTTTTGGCACGTCTCGCCCTGCTGTGGCAATAATTCGTTTGCGGCTGCACGGATGCTGCGTTTCGGTGGACCAGAGAACGGTTGAACATCCCACACCTACCACTCACATGGGTGCTTGGTTTCACGTTTCCCACCCACTGTGAGACTTCACTTTCCACCGCCCAATGCTCCAGCTTTGAGGGGTTGTGGCCCTCAAGCGGCTGGGTGTCAGGGGCCTGTGGTTTGGGTTGACCTGACATGGCCGGAATTGATGGCCCCAAACCTACACCCAAACTCTCAACCCTCGTCCCTAAGCCCTGAACAGCCCGAGACTAAAAGCTGGGGTCAGCCGCGGAAACATGCCTGTTCACGGAGTTTTGGTTAATCAGACGAAGCGACCGCGCCCGCGCGCTACTTGTGGAACCCTCTTGCTTGGCGTAAATGTCTCCGATTAGGTGATGACTTATGCATGCCACAGAGACGCGGATGGCACCCGTGACCTCTTTCATGAGGATGAGTGTCACCACTGACCGGCCCCGCAGGCCAGCACGTACGCGAAGCCATGATCACTGCCGGTGCAAACACACCCGGGAGATTCGGCCCAAGTCACACCTTCCAGGATGTTTGTGCAAGCTCATGTTGAGTAGGCTATCGTTATACAAAACTATACCCCAAAACCCTATTCTAATCATTAAGCCGTTAAGCTTGTGTCCACACGGCCGCGAGGCCGCTAGGCACTATGAGCCCACGAACCCTATATATCATAGTGTCCCTATAATAAGGAGACTGTAAGGCTGTAAGGGAATCTTTCTAGAAAATAGTCCGACCCAAAAGGCCTGAAGCCCTGAACCCGAAACCCAAAGGCCCAAGCCCTCAAGTCCTGAAGCCTTAAACTGATGGCCCAGGAAATCCTCAGACTGCGCTGGTCACCGGACCGAGCCCTCTAAAAGTTTGGTCAAGCCCTCGAAAGAACTTCTACACATCGGGTCAAGCCTACAAGGAGCTTGCAAGCAAATGATCAAACCCTACAAAGAGCTCACTAAAGCCCTAAACCCCTAAACCCTGAGCCCCTACACCCCCTACACCCAAAACACTAGAGTCCCCTTCTGGGAACGCACAAGGGAACCCTATCCTGACCTTCAAGGCGGCTCTGGCGCGCCTGCGAGGGAAACGAGCGAAGAGCCGACAAGGCTTTCCTGCAGGCTCGGGGGCCCACGGCCGCTACGCTAATCCAGTAAGCCCGAAAGCCCTAAAGGCCTAAAGGCCTGAAGACCTAGTGGCCTAAGGGCTTAAGGGCCTAAAGCCCCTAAATGCCTAAACCCTGAAGCCCTAAACCCTAAAGTTGTCAACCCTAAAGCTTGAATCCCTAAACCCTAAAGCCACATATTTACTGGCGTTGTCCATTCCGGTTGATTATGCGGTAACTATTGAAAGGTATTGCTGTGACAAGACCACGACGACGAGGATGACGAGGAGGAGGAGTACTACTGCTACTATTGCTACTTTTGCTACTACTGCTACTACT